TTTCCCAGTGTCTCCGCCACTGACTAATATACTGATATAGAAATTAAGATAATTTTTGCCTTTATTTAATTGTCTTGTCAACCTAACTTTCACATTTTTCTCCATATTTGCGTATTTGTGACATTTTCCAAAAACACCTTGTAAATTGCAAACGAAACAACTTTGGACTGAGGTAAGCCCAGTTATTATGTTTCGACTTCAAGATTATCTGGTAGCATTTATGCTCCTTCATTTAAATATCCTCTGTATAATAATCATAAAATATAATTTTATTGAAAATTGCAATACTTTAAATAATATAAGATTTCTACGTTTAAGTAGTAAGGAGTATCAAATATCTGAAAGAATAATTTCCTTTATTACAAAATAATTTCTGTTACATTGTTTGATAAATATCTAAGCATATTTGTAAAAGATTAGAATAGTAACAATTACAAAGCGGATAAAGCTTAGTAGTCCCGTTGTAGACGGCAGCACCAACAAGGCCACCAGAACCTGCCCTCTGTGATCGAGTTAGCTGAAGCACAATCATGATGCAACCTACAGTAGCCGACGCCTTTACAGCTAACAATAAGATTTCTATAGAATTCAACTTCTAAATCCGGGAATGTTAAGCTGTAAAAGATGACATTTTCATTATACAGAGGGCACCATTACACTTATTATTTGTTTTAAAATCGAAATACATGTAAGAGATTAAAGCCCAGGTGTAAGAGGAAGATAATTCAATTCCACCCTAGCCATGTCATCAAATTGTTCAAAAGGTTCAATAATGTTATTTTGACATTTAATTAAAAAGATAAGTTGTTAAAACACAATTTTATTCATATGTTCAAATTAGAATAACACAAATACAGTTCTAATTTGATTTGAAACAAATGTTTAAAGAGCAAAACTTCTCATATTTCATTCATCAAATATAGTTTTATTTTTTATGCTCAAAAATGTATTGAAGAAAACAATGCCTGACATTTTAAAATGTACTTAATATATTTTTACGCTGTATTGACAACTTCCCGACAAAAACTTGATTTTTTGTTATTGTTTTTGAGTCTTGAAAATGACCGTTTTTGCATTTTTTCGTACTTTAAACTGTTTATAACTCGGAAACCGTTGATTTTAGGAGCATAGTGCATAGTAACTATTTTGTTTAGAATACCCCAAAATACCTATCTTTTTCCGGAGCAAAAGTTATTTTTGCAATTTGTTTTAAAAAAATTAGTTTAAAAAAATTGTGACCAGGTTACCGGCCGGTAACATTTTGATCCTCATTCAGGGACATCTCACGGAGGTGATTATGCAAAAAAATCGAATCCACTAATTTTTTCATACGAAGCCGCCGATTTCACCTTGTCTAATAGGTCAAACGAGAAAGAAATATATAAATCTCATAATGCCTCAAATATTTGTTATGACGGTAATATTGGTTCTAAAATTACTAAATGTACAGGCCTAAATCAAGTAAACAGGAAAACTGAAAACAGGATGTTATTTTTTTAGTGTTTGATATGAAGTTATATTTCAAGGTGGGCATAATATTGATAGACTCCTTGTTACCTTACATAACAATGTTTACATTACCATTTTCATTGGTAATGATAACTACTTTTCAGAATTTGTTTATTCGGTGCATTTCCATTATCAATTTTCCATTAAAAAAATACTATTCTTGTCATAAAATCAAATAAGTATTGATTAAGGGATGCTTTGTATGAAAATCTCCACATGGGGCAAATTTGCAATGCGATAAAAAATACCCAACTCTTTTCTGCAATCTTCTTAAAACATTAATTTTCTAAATACTTTAAAAATATTTGTAAGATAATTACTTTCAATAATATTGAAATAAATAAAAAACAAAAAATTTGTTTAAATAGTGTCTGTAAACAAATCTCTTGAGGTGTGTGTGTATCAACATCGCAAAACGCAGGAAAAAAGACGTAATTTCAAAGCTAGAATCACTCTTAAATTAATAAGTAACGATGATACTTTACTGAACACTAGAATATTCAACTTATAAAAAGACTATTGAAAGTGTCAGTTTGTATGTAATTTCTGTGTAAACTTCTACAATTAATTTATAGTTTTTGAATATAAACTGAATAAAATATATATTGCAAGAATTATTGCTATGTGAATTATGTTGTCAAATAATTCAGATACATTTTATATTAAAGATCAAGTAGGTACTTAAAAATTTGTTGATTTGCATCAATGAATTTGAATAGTATCTATCCACATACATTATTAAAAGCAAGAGGTTAAAGGTTAGGACGTATAAAATATGCTGTATTTTGCATAACGAGCGATACAATGGCATAATTTTTTTATAAGTAAGTCTACCAATGTCAATGTTGCAAAATATCCTTATATATACATTGCCCTAGATTCGTTTTCTTACATACAAAATTAATTACAGGATTTAAATTACATTTTTAAATAAACCAAGTTGGATTATTGCATCTTGTGATGAATAATTTCTGATAATTTAATAAAATTATGAATACCTATATTTCTGTTGGCATTTATATTTTGATTACATCATTTAATTTGTTATAATTCTATTTCTTTTTTTTCAAGTTCTTCTAAATTAAATAAAGTTGTACTCATCGATGCCAAATATTTAACTATGCTAAATAAATAACTATGAATATGTTAGACATAGTAGATAATTAACAAAAATAAAAAATAATCTACCAACAGCACCAACCAACAATTAGTGACAGATTTTAGTCCGTTAAACCAATAAACACATTTTAGCTAAATAATGTTTATAATAAAAGTTTAATTATTCTAAAATACATATTTCAACTAAATCAACCATTATCGTGTGACAGATTAAAATTCAACATCCCTGGAAAAATGCTTACAAGAATAAATAAATATAAATTACTTAATGTGTAACACTATCAACTGGTTCGTCCTGTATTATTCATAATGTACTCATAAGTAAGCTGCATAAGAGGCTAAATATGTTATGTGTGAGCTATTGATATTTCTCTAGATTTAGTTTCATCATTATCATAATAAAATTTCATTGTGCAATTCGAATGCTAACAATATCTCCCAGCATATAGCGATAAGTTTTTGTAAGTATAAAAAGAATCTCGCAAAATAAAAACACAGGCGATTCTCAGTGAGAATACTCACTCGGGGGTTTTTGAGGTCGGGGATTTCGATTCTGACACTGAAAAGTATGCCCGACGCCCCTGGGCCCCCCCAGGGGGGCAAGGGAGTCTTCTGTAAAACATCGAATCGCGTTATTTTTTGAAAATTTGGTCGGCCATCTTGGATCCGCCGTCTTGAATTTTGCATAATTGACCTCGGATCCGTGATCAGTAACCCCGACAACCTCCGTAAACCAAACTTGGCGCGAATCTGTTATTCTTTTGAAAATTCGTAATTAACCCGTTTTTTTTTAGGTTAGAAAAAGAACCATCAATTCTGACCGCAGATTCACATTTGACGGGGTGTTAACCATATAAATAAACATTTGAATATAGAAAAAAAATTATATTTTTCTTAGCACTTTTTCGTGAATTTTTGCAATTTTTGATCTGTTTTTTGAGGTTAGGAAATTCCTGTGATTGTGATAGCCCCAAGGCGTCGGGCATACTTTTCAATGTCAGAATCGAAATCCCCGACCCCAAAAACCCCCGAGTGAGTATTTAGAAGGCAATTACTCAGCTATTCGATGTTTTACAGAAGGCCCCTCCCTTGCCCCCTGGGGGGGCCCAGGGCCGTCGGGCATATTTTTCAGGGTCAGATTCGGAATCTCCGACCACGAAAACCCGTGCACACAAATCTCTACACCTTTTAGTCAATTTTTACCATTTTTAGAAAAATTGATGCACTCCAAGATGCATTTTATGCACCCGCAATGCAGATTCTATCCAACCCCAAAGTGTAATAGATAGACTTTTTTCCTGATATTATTCCGAAGACAATGCCGAAAACCGCAACTCGATCGGTTCATCAGAAAAAAATTTCCGTTATCTGGGTGATTTTGGTCTAACTTGCCTGGACTAGTGAAGAACGTTAATAAATTTACCTTCGCTTTTAGAATATTCTTGTCATTTTAGTCTGTAAGTTTGTCATTTTTTTTGCAAGTTTGCGCGTTCATATGTTAATACTTACCTGTAATGGTACATAAACCTTAAAAATAGCAACTTTAACTATATATTTTTATATTTATACGTATTTACATTTATACACTATTTATACTATTATTATAAGCTATTTTTAAAAATAACAGAAAAAAAATTTATACTTACTGAAATGGGAGGCCCTTTCAATTAATTAAATTTTCTAAACTTTTATATGTACTAGTTAATAAAATTAAAATTATATAGTGGTGCTCGATACGATATATTTTAGCAAAAGCGTTTTCCTTGAAACCGATTAGAGATAATTAAATTCTGAAAACGGTGTTATATTCTCAATGACTATCGCTTAAATTGGGACTAAAAAATTTAGTGGTGCCGTGCCGATTATTTTATCAGAAACATACCCTTATTATAATGCTGCTGAAAAAGCTTTTAGTTATTAGACTTGCTTGTATTTAACGTTTTTTATATAAACATTCATATAACAGTTAAAAATATTTTTTTTGAAATTCTCGTCTTTAATATAAGAAAAAAAGTTGATTTTTGAACTTTTCTTCCTCAAAATGAAGAACTAAAGTTATTTTCAACATCGTTTTGAAATCGTTTGTATCGTTTGGAACTGAGTACCAAAGACTATTATTATTTGCGATATAATTTAGCCATTTTGTGTAATATGGTAATTTACATTTTAATAATTACAAATGAACACGTTAAAACTAAAAAAATATTCCAAATGGAAAGAATACCTGCTATTCAAAGGAAATTACAGTTTCATTCAATAAACCTTAAACTCTCGAAAACAATGAATGTCTTTTCTCTGTTTTGCATTTTCTTTTTATTTGCCAGATTTGGAATGGAAATGTTTAACTATATGTAGACTATTATGTGTTAATATTCATGTTTACTTATACTTATGTAAATCCATATACTTATATGACTTCACAATATACCTTTTAGTTTGAGTTTTGTGTCCAGTGAAAATGGTTGAACTTCAAACGGTGCGTACCTACATACCACATACATTAAACATTTACTAAATATTATTAAGAAGAATGAGAAAATTAATTATAAGTCATATCTATTTATAATAACAGTAATATTGGTAAACCCTTCATACATATTCGAGAGTAGTAACTTCCAGTTTTATAACTGATAAAGAAAATTCTATTTTTGTAAATTTTACTATAGCAGATTTTTTTTTCTTTACGCTATTTGTTCAATTATCCAATAATTTTGGCACACAATATAAACATTCTTTAGATTTTCTCTATATTTTAGTTTAGTCATAAATAAATAAAACTAAAATATTGTAAAAAATTATTATATAAAAAAAGACAGAGAAATTTGATATATTCTTAGTTAAATTGTCGAGCACACAGGAAAATCACCACTAATTCATAAGCAACTCTTATTTACATTAGCGCAGATGCGAAATGGATGAATGCCTAAAATTTGTAGGAAGCTTTTTAATAAATAAATAAAAATAAATTAATTAATACCAAAATTTCGAGTTGTAAATGTAACATACATTTTTTTAAATCGACACGTTGTATCCATATTTTGATATAATGCTTTTAGACATTAGCTTTGATAAATCTACCTAAATAATAAAGGAGATATAGCTAAAATGAAGTATCATAAGGAATAGTTGCTAGACTATTGAAACTGTCACATATTTTTGTACACGCATTTGCACCTATCTTCCTCGATGATAAAAATAGGATATACCGAACATTCTTCAGTAACTCTGGTAATGCTAATAATACAAAAGTGTCAACTATCTTTGATTATACAGGATGTCCTTTTCTTCTGGGCGTATCTTACTTTATTGTCCCAAAAGTAACCAACTATATTATTGCATTTTTTAATATCTTCAATTTATGGTCTATCTTGATACACAAATAAATATTGAATTTAAGTTTCGATTAATAAAAATTAACGTTTGCAGATGCTCGAAAATATTAAATACCTCCAAAACTACATGTACATTATTTGTTACATTTGAAGTAGAGATCCCACCTTACATTTGACACTAGCAATTGTAAAATTTAATTATATCTCGATTTTTTTAAGGTATGTATATTTCTTACAGTTTGCGAAATATTCCCAGTTTTAATTTTTTTGTTATTATTTCCGCATTAATTTAATACAAGGTTCAATTTAAAACTTAGAACCTCTTGCGGGTCGATAAATACTATTTTTCAGAAAATTTTAAGTGATGAATTATGGAAATTGCTTCTTGTCTTCATGTTTAGTTTCAGATATATTTAACATTTTCCAAAATACAACAAACACCAATTATAATATAACATATAAAAATTAAATAAATTTTATTAAAAATTAATTAAATAATAATAAATATGATATTTTCTGCATAATGAACCGTGGTTAAAAACTAAAATATCTAGTGATTCTATAAAAAATATTAACGATTAATATTGTTAATATTAAATGTAACGAATTGGAAATGCACACAAAGTATCACGATTGAAAAATTACCTGACCGAACTTTAGATTAAAAATAAAAATTAATTATTAACATAGTAAACAATAAAATTGTATAAAATTGTTAATATAAAGACTCTGAATAAAAATAGGTATCAAATAAGGAATATCACATAGTATAGAATTGATAATTTTAATTTAATTAGCAAATACAAAATAATTTTCAAAAGAATGCATGATATCGACACTTGCTAACACCCAGTACAGTGAGAAAACAGAATTTAAACGCAGTGTGACATATATCAAAAGAAAGCCCAATATCCATAGAGGAATTTGATATGCATAAATTGGGTAGGCGAGTCAATGTAGAGAAGATATCTTAAATGAACTGAAGTAATATATGAAAATTTATTATCAAATGTCAAATTAAATTATAAATTTTATCACATGTCAAAACTAAAGTTGGCTTTACAAGTACCAGAAGATGACCTAGAAAAAAGAACATAAAATAAGGAATATTTATTTATGTTAAAAATAAAAGGACATTGTAACAAATGTATTAGGTATAAGAAGTGCAGTGAAAGTGTTGTGAAAAATGGACGTCCAAAGACTGGAATTTATGTGAAGGGACCTTAAGGAAAAATAAACACTAGAAATTTCCAGAAGGAGAAAAACAAATGTTTATTTATTAGTTACGGCTTGGTTTTTGGCAAAAAGCTAGAAAGGAGAAGTAGCTCCAACAAAAATTAAATAAAATTCAAGAAAAACAGTTGGGAAGTAAATTAAACTTACTAGTAACATTGAGAATCGTTTGTCTTCAAAATTCACATAAAGAAAATTGGCCAGTGAAGAAAAATTTTGTAACCAGTATAAGGCAGTATCCAGAGAGGTATTCCAGTGGCCCATAAATGGTACAAAAGACATCGTAAGCGCTTCCAACAAGGAAAGAAGCACGCAGTAACCAACAGGTACCTAAAAATAGAAAAGTGCACTAGAGTATTAATTCATAGCTATAACCTACAAATAGTACAGTATTAATACAGTATACCTTAGAAAAAGGATAAATTAAAATAACAGGACTTACGTGAACAAATTTAAATACTAGCAATCCAAAATCTACTTTAAAAACTCCAAAATTGAATGAGCTTACAACAAGTTCTAAAAGGGACAGCCATTTTAATTTTAAATCGTCAGATCGTGTTAGTTTAAAATTTGTATAATTTAAGATATGCAATACACAATACACGGGCGAGTGGTTAAGGTAGTATCAATTAAGAATTATTCGAATATAGTAAAATTTTGTTAAAAAAAAGTCCAGTCCTTGTATTGTACAAACTATAATAGGATAAGAAAAGGTAAAGAAAAATAAAAATATTCTTTATTATTGTTCAACAAAAAAAAATAATTTATATCCATAGCCATATCTGATCTAAAGTCAACCAGTTAAAATTTGTTTTCTTATAATTCAATTAACTAATTTGAATAAATATTGTATAAAATTTAAAAACTCTATTTTCTGGCGTTCTGCATTGAACAAGTTATATATGAATGATACAGAACCGACTCCTGAGATTCAAATTAAAACAAACATCTGAGTGACAGCCAGCAAGGGATAAAAAATTAATATACGAGGTAAATAAAAGAAAGGTTTGTATTAAACAATTTACAATTAATCTAAATAAAAAAATAATTACAGAAACAAAACCAAAAACAACGCAACACTCACCAAATAAAACACAAAAATTTGACAAATTAAAATCAACATCATAAATTAAATTAAATTTTATAAAAAAACACACACAATAATATTTTATATATAGAGATTTAATATCAATATCTGGTTACAAATGTTACCGAAGAGACAGACTCGATAAAATTGGAGGTAGGGTTTGTATTTATGCTAGGGAGTCTTTAAAAATAAAAATAGTTGACAATTTAAACAGTAATGAATTTTATGAACAACTATGGATAAGTGTTAAAGTTGGTACCACAGAAATCTGCTTGGGGGTCATTTACCGTTTACCTCTAGACTAGTGCAAGTCAATTTTTAGACATATTTGAAAATGATGTATCGATGTTATCTGTTGAATATATTAATCTTATTTGTGTTGGCGATTTTAATATAGACCTTTTGGCTGATAATAATATAACAAAAACATTTAACACCCTGTTAGAAGGCATTGAGCTTAAACAGATAATAAATGAGCCAACACGTAAAGATCGTTTGTTAGATTTTATAATTATAAATGAATCTTTGGGATACTCAAATTTAAATGTTATGGATATGAATTTATCAGATCATTTTCTTGCATGTAAAGTGAATGTAAAGTGAATTTTAACATAAAGAAAAATAATCGTATTACGAAAACATATCGGGACTTTTCTAAATTTAAGTTAGAAGTTTTCAACTAGGATCTCACAACCTTGGCACTTAATTTATGATAATTTTTGTATTAATGAGAAAATTAAAATATTTAACGAACTAGTCACAGGGTTGTTCAATTTGCATGCACCATTTAAAACGGTAACCTTTAAAAACAGATATTACAAGCCCTGGATTACTGACATCAAATTTATGATCAATCTACGAAATAAAGCGTTTAACATGTATAAAAAAAACTAAAAAGAAAAAGCATTGGGTTTATTACAAAAATTTAAGAAATTATATTACAAAAGCTATACGTACCGAACAAAAAATATATTTGCAATACAAATTTGTCAACGGTAGTAGTAAACAAAGATGAAATATAATAAATTTTCAGGATTTAGGAACAAAAATGACTTTGAGTTTACCTCAGATGTAGACGCAAATGATATAAATGTAAACTTTTTAAAAATAAATGGGGATATTATTAAGCCTCATACGGAAATTCTCAATTTTTATCGTAATAATTTTAAAACAAATTTTGGAAACTTATTTGAATTCAGTGAAGTAGATGAATACAGTATTATGCAAATTATTCTCAAAATTAGAACTCAAGCTTGTGGGATTGATGGAATTAATATTTCTCTAATTAGATTTCTTTGTCCGTATTTAATCCCACACATAACATATTTAATCAATTTCTGTCTAAAAAATTTATTTTTTCTAAATGCCTGGAAAGAAGTTCTAGTTATTCCCATCCCAAAAGTTGCCTCCTCTGAAAATTTAAATGAACTTCGCCCTATAACCATTCTTCCTACTATTTCCAAAGTTTTGGAACGATTCGTAGAATACCAACTACGAGGTCATATTGATAAATATGACATTCTTCCAACTACACAATCCGGGTTTAGAGCGGGATGTAGCTGTGGAACTGCCCTTTTAAACATAACGGATGATTTTTTTTAAGGAACTGGATAATGGAAAGTCGGGTGCCTTAATTTTGTTAGAATATAGCAAGGCATTTGATATAATTAACCATGAATTATTCTTACAATTAGCAGTGTTATATTTTATTGGTCTCATCCCGCTCTCTGTAATATTTTTTAGGAATTATCTCATTGGCAGAACTCAAAGGATAATATATAGGGGTGTATCGTCAACCATACGGGAAATTGGACGAGGTGTGGCCCAAGGCTCAATCCTTGGGCCCTTATTTTACACTATCTATACAAGCAATTTCTCTTCAGTATTGCAATATTGTAAGGCCCATACGTATGCTGACGATACACAGTTATATACATTTTTTGAAAAAAAGATGAATTAAAAGCAATACAAGAAATTAATACTGATCTAAACGCTTTGCTAAGTATTTCTACTGAGAATAATCTAGTAATTAATCCGAATAAATCATCTGTTATGTTGTTTGGTTCAACATTGTGGTATAATACTCCGATAAAAATTGATAATTTATCTTTATCTACTCCTATTAATTTATATATTAATTATTCAACTGCTTTTGAGCAATTAATAGTATCAATAAACAAGTAGCGTGAGTTTTTATAGTGAGTTATTATAACTCACGCTGGGCTTCTACAATGATAATTCGGTATGTAAATAGTGTACGCAGTAAATTCTTGGAAATTTTTAAGCCGATAAATACGTTCCATTGGTGTAAAATGGAAAGAATTTTTAACAAGTGGAAAGGAATGAATAATTAAAAGATTTTAAAATTATTAAATTGCCAACGCCTCTCAGTAGGCGGAACTGTCAATTATTATCATTGAGGGGACTAATGTCAT